CAAACAACTTGCTGCAAATCACATTCAACCTATCACAGAAACCATTCAGATCATGTTTCAGCCTAGGCTTAACTATTTCCTGTGATGAAGAATTCACAAGCAAAAGGGCAGTGCACTTACAGGCAGAGCAAACAGAAAACACCTCAGCTCGTGAACCTGGACCATTCAGTTCCACAGTCCTTGTTCTACTGTTGCTGACGGATACTGCCCTAATGAGCCTCTCCTAGGCATTTCTGAGACTCTTCAAAATGAAAACATACCAAATCAAAGTTACTATTTCCAATAAAGTTTAAACATTTACATTTAGCAAATTAATTTTTGAACCAAAACAAGCACATAATAATCATAACCTGCCGTGGCAATAACACCCACAGCCTGTGGTTGAGGCCCTCAGTGAACTGAGAGTCTGGCCAGATGGCCCTATGATCCTCTGAGCCCCCATCAAGGAACATCCCACAATTTCTCACCCACTCTGTCACTGAGGTTCTCAAGGAGACCATTGACCAGAAAATCTCCACGGGTACCTTAATCCCTTCGTGATCTCCTTGTGAGCTCAGCCCCAGCACTCTAGCTCCACAGAGCCACTCTTTCAGTATCTGGGGCTCAGCCCCTATCTGGGAAAGAGGAAGGCCAGAATATTAGAACAGGTGCTCTCGGTCAGAAAGAGATAAAAACAGTTGGTTTTCTCCCTCAGAAGACTTAATCATATGCAAAATCCAGCAACATACACTAAGTATCTCTCCACTATGGGTTGGATTTGAAATACTATCATGGAATTATTGTTCATTTCAATAGATATGATAGTGACTTTTGTGGCTGTGAAGGGAAATGCCCTTCTTCATAGGAGATGCATGCTGAATTTCTTAGGTTTTGATCAGGAAGCTGCAAACCAAGGCTCCCAGGAGTGTAATGGCTCGAGCTCCACTCACGGCAACCTCCAACTCTTGGGTTCAAGCCATTCTCCTGCCTCAGCCTCCTGAGTAGCTGGGATTACAGGCACGTACCACCATACCCACCTAATTTTTGTATTTTTTGAGTAGAGATGGTGTTTCCCCATTTTGGTCAGGCTGGTGTCAAACTCCTGACCTCAGGTGATCCACCTGCCTTGGCCTCCCAAATTGCTGGGATTACAGGCATGAGCCACCACTCCAGGCCTATTTTTAAAAACTTTAATGTCATACTGGAACACAGCCGTATCCATTTGTTGCCTTTTTATTTATTTATTTATTTTAGGCGGAGTCTTGCCTGTTGCCCAGGCTGGAGTGCAGTGGCATGATCTTGGCTCACTGCAACCTCCACCTCCCGGGTTCAAGCCATTCTCCTGCCTCAGCCTCCCAAGTAGCTGGGATTACAGGTGTGCAGAAGCACACCCAGCTAATTTTTCTATTTTCAGTAGTGACGGGGTTTCACCATGTTGGACAGGCTGGTTTCGAACTCCTGAGCTCAAGTGATCCACCTGCCTCAGCCTCCCAAAGTGCTGGGATTACAGGCATGAGCCACGACACCCAGCCCACATCCATTTATTTCTATATTGTCGGTAGCTGCTATTGTGCTTACAACAGCAGAGTTGAGTTGTGTGACAGAAACAGTTGATTCCCAAAGCCTAAAATATTTACTATCTGGCCCTTTACAGAAAGTAGTTTGCCAACCCCTGGGTTACAGTATAGTCATCCATGACTTCCTTTAAAATTGTTTAGTAAAACAATAGCAACAACAAAGTGTATACAAGTGTGAGTGAGTATATAAATATACTGCATTTAAATTCACCAATGGTTAACGTTTTATCACATTTGCCAGAGAGAGAAGACAAATGTGGTAAAATGTTAATAATTGGTGAATTTAGATGGAGAATATATGAGTATTCATTTTATTTTTTCAACTTTTCTTCATGTTTGAAATTTAAAAAAAATAAAATGTGTGGAGGGTAAATATTGCTTCATTTAAAATCTCAGGAGAGGCCAGGCGCGGTGGCTCATGCCTGTAATCCCAGCACTTTGGGAGGCCAAGGCGGGTGGATCATCTGAGATCAGGAGTTCAAGACTAGCCCGACCAACATAGTGAAATCCCATCTCTACTAAAGATACAAAAATTAGCTGGGCGTGGTGGCTGGCGCCTGTAATCCCAACTACTTGCGAGGCTGAGGAAGGAGAATCGCTTGAACCTAGGAGGTGGAGGTTGCAGTGAGCCAAGATTGTGACACTGTACTCCAGCCTGGGCAACAAGAGAGAAATTCTGTCTCAAATACATAAATAAATAAATAAATTTTAGGAGAATCTGCTAAAAATAATTTACAACTCACAGAAAAATTAACGAGATCAATAACAAGCCAAATAACGAACTAGCAAGTGCAATAGGCTTAAAAATAATGGGTACAATCTTATTCACAATAGCAACAACAAATATTAAACCTAAGGTTTAACTGAAAAAGAAATGTGTGGCCAGGCTTGGTGGCTCACACCCGTAATCCCAGCACTTTGGGAGGCCAGGGCAGGTGGTTGGCTTGAGCTCAGGAGTTCAAGACTAGCTGGGCAACATGGTAAAATCCTGTCTCTACAAGAAATACAAAAATTAGCTGGGTGTGATGATGCATGCCTGCAGTCCCAGCTACTTGGGAGGCTGAGGTGGGAGGATCATTTGAGCCCAGGAGACAGGGGTTGCAGTGAGCCAAGATTGTGCCATTGTACTCTAGCCTAGGCAACAGAACAAGGCCCTGTCTCAAAGAAAAAGAAAAAAGGAAATGTGGAGCATTTAAAGAAAACAAATTTTACCAAGGTCCAAAAAATTAGAAGCATATAGGCATAGAGATAAAAGTCTTTGAGAAAGTTTGGGATTAGGTGGTCAGCACCTTCAAAGGTGCATAAAAAAATTGGTAAAGACAAAAAAAAGCTTTGAATAACATACCAGATTTCTGAACAAGAAGATTCAATGATTCAACATTGTAAAAACGTCCAGTTTTCACAAAGACAGCTATAAATTGATGCAATTCTAATGAAAATCACTGAGGTCTTTGTTGTTAAGAGAGAGGAGATAATGACAGAATAATTCAAGTTTCCCTGGCAGAAAAAAAAAAAAATGGGTGAGATTAGCCAAGGACATTTTGGAAATGAAGAGTAATGGTAGGGTTCTTACCTTAACAGATGTTAAAATTTATTTTAAAGCTACAATAATTAAACAATTAAGTCTGGCTCAGGAATAATAAATCAGAAAAGAAAAATCCACAAAAAGGCCCACAAGTAAGTAAAAAGTAAGAATCCAATCAAGGCAGCAAGTCAAATGAGAAGGGAAAAGACAGATTACATAATAAATAATATGGGGACTACTGGCTTACCATTTGGAAGAAAATAAAATAAGAGCCCTATATTACACCACCCTCCAAAGTGAAGGAAAACTAGTTGGAGACAAATAAAATCAGGAGAGACATATAAACAATGCAGATTCTTTTTTTTTTTAATATCAACTCTTGCACATACATATTTTTTAAATGCAGATTCTTATAAACTTGTGATATCACAGATCCTTCTAAGCATGAAGCAAATTTAAAAAAAAAAAGACTGATAGATTTTGCCAATTGAAAGTTTAATCCTATGTACCTCTGAAAATACTGAAACCAAAATTAAGAAAAATCAACAACACTGTTAAAAATATTTTCAACATGATTTGAAAAGGCCACTATCCTCACTATCTAATTAGTATGGGGCAAAACAAAGTTTTAAAATTTTTTGTTTTGTTTTTTGTTTTTTATACAGAGTCTCACTCCATCACCAGGCGCCAGGCTGGAGTGCAGTGGCGCGACCTCGGCTTACTGCAGTCTCCACCTCCTTCGTTCAAGCAATTCTCCTGCCTCAGTCTCCCGAGTAGCTGGGACTACAGGTGCGCACCACCACACCCAGCTAATTTTTTTGTATTTTTAGTAGAGACAGGGTTTCACCATGTTGGCCAGGATGGTCTCGATCTCTTGACCTCGTGATCCGCCCGCCTCAGCCTCCCAAAGTGCTGGGATTACAGGCGTGAGCTCCCGCACCCAGCCTAAAAATTTTTAAATGGGAAAATGCCATGAGTATACTGACAACTGCAAGACTCTCTGCACATACGTAACAACTTTGCCAAACTCTGGCCATGGCTTCTAGCAGCATAAGGTCATGTCCCTAGGATGACTCTAGACTTCCATTAAAAAGCTCAATGTTGGCCTGGTGCAGTGGCTCACGCCTGTAATTCCAGCACTTTGGAAGGCCGAGATGGGAGGATCACCAGGTCAAGAAATCGAGACCATCCTGGCCAACATGGTGAAACCTCGTCTCTACTAAAAATAAAAATAAAAATAAAAATAAAAATAAAAAAAATAAAAAAAATAAAATTAGCTGGGCATGGTGGCATGAGCCTGTAGTCCCAGTTACTTGGAAGGCTGAGGCAGACCAATTGCTTGAACCTGAGAGTCAGAGGTTGCAGTGAGCTGAGATCGTGCCATTGCACTCCAGCCTGGTGACAGAGCAAGACCCTGTCTCAAAAAACAAACGAACACTCAGTACTACCAGAAAAACCTATTTGCTCTAACCAGCACCTGTCAACAGACCGATAACTCTTTATCCTACACCAGAAAATGTGAATATGTCATCTCTTTGAATCCTCATAAAAATTTCCAGTAAAGTGTTATTATTACCTGAATATTACAAACAAGGAATGTTCTAGGCCTCATTTCTGCACCAGTGGAATGGGATGCAAAAGACCCAGGATCTAATCCTGATTCTATCCCCAACCTCTACTACATGTGACCTTGGCCAAGTCTCTTCTGTCTGACCCTGTTTCCTCATCTGTAAAAGCAGAAGTGGATTGGCCCAAATGGTGTGTCAAAGTCCTTCCTGCTCAGACACGGCCAATTTCTGTTCTCATAAAGCACCCAGTACTAATCAATGGCCAAGGATTGATCCAAACCAGAGGCCAACCCCAGTGGCCTCAGGGGCTAAGCAGTTGGCCGCACACAAGGGCCCTATGCACTGGCCCACCTTGAATTCCTCGTGGATGCGTTCCTCCAGGACTTTGGCAGCCTTACGGTCTTCCATCTCCACTTTCCACTTCTCCGCCAGGATCCGAGCTTTCTCATTGGCCAGAGCATCCCGGAACTTCTTGGTGATCTCTGCCTCCTTCTGTCTCCTACCAAGAAAGACAGGTATAAGCTTGTGTGAAAAACTGAAGGACCACATAGCAACAGAACTTGAAATAAAAACAATGAGCGTTTTTTCCTTGGTCTATCAGAATTCAGTGTTGGCAAAGGCAGAAAGAAACAGGCATTCTCATGCATGGGAGTGTAAATTTGCATAATTCTTCTGGAAGCCAGGAAAATGAGGCTAGGAAATCCCATTTCCCAGATTTTGTACACTTACTCAAGTGTACAAGGATGCATTGTAGGTCAGGCACGGTGGTGCGTGCCTATAATCCCAGCATTTTGGGAGGCAGTAACAGGAGGATTGCTTGAGGCCAGGAGTTCAAGACCAGCCTAGGCAACATAGTGAGACACCATCTCTGCTAAAAATTTGTTTTTAAATAGCCATGTCTGGTGGCATGCATCTATAGTCCCAGATACTCAGGAGGCTGAGGCAGGAGGATCACTTGAACCCAGGAAATCAAGGCTGCAGTGAGCCTTGATCATGACACTGCACTCTAGCCTGGGAAACAGAGTGAGGCCCTGTCTCAAAAAACAAACAAACAAACAAAAAAGATGAGTAAATAATACATTTGTAAGTAAATAAAACAAAAATGCATATAAAAGATGCTTGTCAGAGGATTTTTTTGTAATATTAAAAAAAGATAACCCAAATGTCCATCAATAAGACCAATAAGTTGAGTTTCCCGTATCATATAATAAATACTTGTACCATATAGTAATCTTAAGTAGCATTTTGGATCTGTATTAGTCAATTTGTCAAGGTGTGAATAAAACAATTTACAAAACATGTATTAACTAAGCATTCACTACAGTTATCTTAGGTGGTGGATATGAGTTGTTCTTTATTTTATTTTCAGTGTTGTTTACATGATTTTAGAATTTTCCAATTAAAATGCCATCATTAAGGCCAGCGTGGTGGCTCACACCTGTAATCCCAACACTTTGGAAGGCCGAGGCAGGTGCATCACCAGAGGTCACGAGTTTGAGACCAGCCTGGCCAACATGATGAAACCCCGTCTCTACTAAAAATACAAAAATTAGCCAGGCATGGTGGTGGCACCCCTGCAATCCCAGCTACTCGGGAGGCTGAGGCAGGAGAATTGCTTGAACACAGGAGGTCGAGGTTGCAGTGAGCCGAGATCACACTACTACACTCCAGCCTGGGCAACAAGATCAAAACTCCATCTCCAAAAAAAAAAAAAAAAAAAAATGTTGAAGTCAAATTCACATGAATTTCCAAGTTGAGTGACAAAATCTTAAAGTTGTTTATGAAAGGAGTCTGACTCCAAACCTCTCTAGGGTTCAATTGCTCTTCCTGTGTGAGAAAGATGGGTAACACGAAGAGGAACAAGTAGATAACAAACATGAATGCAGACTGCGGTGCCATTCCCATGAGAACGCAGTGAGAGAACAAACAAAAGCTTGTGGCATGTGTTACCTCAGCAAATCCAAACTCTGTCCATATGGGAAGCATGGTGTTCTGTCCACACCACAGATGTGTTAACTGAGGCCCTGGATCAGCCAACTACTAATTGGTGGAGCCAGGATTTAAGCCCACGAAGTTTCCTGATATAAGACTCTGATGCCTTGGTCACCTAATCTTAGCAGAGCTCAAAACATCCAGGTAGCCTGACTGGGCCTCCTTCCCCCCACCCACACCCTACTGTCCTTAGCTTGGCCCCACTCCAGGCTTCCATGCCCAGACCTCACCCAACACTCCATAGCACCCCTCACCAGAGCTCCTCAGCCTCCTTCTGTGCCTGCAGCCGTGCCCTCTCTGCAATCAGCTCTTCAGAGATCTCTTCGTAGGGCTTGTCACCAGGGCCTTCTCCCATGATCCAGACCCAGACCTCGCCATCTGCCCCTAGGAGCCACTGGATGTGCTTGTTACTTGCTGCTTCACAATAGAAGGAGAAACAAAGAAGGAAGAAGAAACAGGTTTGATTTCCAATCAGTAAGGAATGACCTAAGCTGCCCAGTGGTGTATAACAGTCACATCACTCTACAGAACCTTGCCATCTACAAAAAGAATTCCAGAGAGACCCTGGCCTGGGTGCAGGTTCACAACCATCTCCCACTCCCTATTTCTCTAGGCAGAAGCACAATAGCCACACCAGCCTGCAGGGGCAGGCGTCCAAGAACAAGCTCTCCTTCAGTCTCCAGCAGAGAGAATGCAACGGTGAAAAGGAAGCCGACCATGACTAGCTCCAATTTACTCCTAACTTCCCCCACCGCCCCCATGGTGATATTTTTTAGGTTAACTGCTTTTGCTTACCTCTGCATACAGGCTGAGCTAACAATGGGCGAAATTTAGTTTATAGTTTAACTTTAAAACATGGCTAATAAGCCCTTCCAAAACTATACCTCCAGGAGACAAAAAGGGTGTACACACGAGAACAATGTTATGTTAAAAATGTATAAAAGCACTGTGACCTGACCAAGGACAAAGAGGTTTACCCTCACTGCCACCCAGATGCCCATAGTCATTAGTCACCCTTCAACCTCAACCCCTCCCTCTTCCTCCTTCCCTTAACATAAAAGAAACCCAAAATTCATATTAGCTTAGGAGGTTCTTTAGAACACTAGTTGCCATCTTCTCAGTTTGCTTGGTCTTGGAAATGAAGTCGCTTTCCTTGCCCCAACACCTTGTCTCTCAACTTATTGGCCGTTGTGTGGTAAGCACTACAAGCTTTGGACTTGGCTATAAGAACATCAAGGGACACTGCAGCACTCTCTGAAGGAAAAGACTTGTGTCACTCCCGGGCCAAAGCAGTTAGGAGACAGTGGCCCTTCTCTGCACTCTCTCCCTCATGTCCACTGGCTAGAAACAAGGAATCAGGTGATGGAGGAAGATGAAGCAGCCTGGGGCCCTGAGCCTCCCTGGCCCACATCAGACTGTAACATTAGCAAGAAATAAACTTGTGCTCTATTCAGCCACTGAGATTTCTCAGTTTGCCTATTGCAGCAGATTCCACTGATTACATGACTAAAATGAAAATGTATCCCAAAAGCGGAGTGAGTGCTGCTGAAACAGAAGTATAAACTCTGTGTCACTGCTTTAGCAGTTGGGTGGTGAGTGATGTTGAACAGGCTAGAGATCCGTATTATGCAGCCACAAAACATTTGGTTAAAAAGCTAGACACTGTAACTTCAAAGGCAGACCCCATGCTTTCTGAACTCTTCCTTCTAAGGGAGGAGGTTGAAAAACAGAACATTAGGAATAAGTGTTGGTTGCTAGGGACTGTGTTTGGCAAGGTGTTAAAAGAAAGAAATGAATTCAAGAAAGAAGCTTTGCAAGCTGAAATGAAAGGGAATAGAGCAAATACAGAAATTTGGATGTTACAGGATTGGAAAAAGCATCTCATCATATACCACATTGCAAGAGATAGAATTTTTAAAGGTTTTGCATGACGGAGCATAGGAAAACTTCTAAGGTGAATAAAGTGATGAAGAGCACACAGCACCTGCAGGTCAAGCTCTGTGAAGTTCTTGTGGTGGCCATGAGGATGTGCTCTGTCCACTTTCAACCACAGGTAGCATCACTGACCAAGCCCCGCAGTTCCTGTGCCCTTGTTTGCTTAAGGCCCTGCTTCCCAGAGGCTGCTGTTAGCCTTTTATTGAGGATACCAGGCTCATTCCCAGGAGATACCCACCTTTTTGCCAAAGGACTGTTCCTTGGACTGCACAGCTGCCTAGAACACCTCCACCCACTGTCCCTTGCCCTCTCCTTCACTCAAGGTCAGCTTGCAATGACTCTCTCAGCCTCCTCCAGCTCTCTACCCTCCTTCCCTCCTAGGCATTTCTCTTAACAAAACCCTTGCATGATTAATCCCATCCTGTCTCTGCTCCTCGGAGAAACCAGACTAACACAGTCATATTAAGAGTGTGATCTCTCTCTGGGGGCTCCAGCCTGGGTAACATAGCAAGACCCCATCTCTAAAAAAATTTTTTTTTCTTTTTTAAAGAGTGTGATCTCTCACACTTACTTTTACAAAATGCTTCAAGGAAGATGCCCTTCAGGTGAAATGGAGAGGCACAGGGGTGAAGGGGCAAAAGAAGAATGTCAAGATGAGAAATATGTCTAGGAAAGAATTTTAGCTGTTGTTGGCTGGGTGCGGTGACTCACGCCTGTAATCACAGCACTTTGGGAGGCCAAGGTGGGTGGATCACCTGAGGTTAGGAGTTTGACACCAGCCTGACCAACATGGTGAAACCCTGTCCCTACTAAAAAAGACAAAAATTAGCCGGGCATGGTGGTAGGCACCTGCAATCTCAGCTACTCAGGAGGCTATGGCAGGAGAATCACTTGAACCCAGGATGTGGAGGTTGCAGTCAGCCGAGATCATCCCACTGCACTCCAGTCTGGGTAACAGAGCAAGACTCCATCTCAAAAAAAAAAAAAAAAAAAAAAAAAAAAACAATTTTAGATATTGTTACTGTGACACGAAAGCAAACAGAAGCCACTTAAGTTTTTGAGCCTGGATTAAAAAGTCTTTGGTTGTTCATGACTTAAACGGCCCTTGAGCATCCAAGTCTGATGACCAGGAGACAGGTTTCAAAGGCTACACTGGTCTACAGGGTGAGAGGCTCAATGCTCACTTCAGAGGAGGCCAATGGGACTCAAAGACAAAAAGCCTCATCCAGGCTGGAGTCAGTGTCCACTCAAGGAATTCTCTTCACTGCAAGGCAGGGAAACTTCATGGAGCCTGACCTGTAGGACTTCAGAAATGCTATAGATTGGAGACTGTGGCTCTCATGTTCTCCACTTTTCCAGGTGGCATTTCCTTGGTGGGTATTCTGACCCTGCTCCAGCACTATATAGTGCCTTAGGGGTGACAGGTGTTTAAATGCTATGTCTTCTCAGCATGTTCAGACCTGATAGAGACCAGTGCAGAACCCTGGAGACAGTGGACTTTGAGCTGGATGCAGTGACTGGCTGGGACCTGAAGGTGTCCCCATAAGAGGTGGTGAGTGTACTTTAGGTGGAGGAGAAGAATGAAATGTGAGGATGACCAGAATGACAATTTAGAACAGTAACAATGCAATGTTCACCACCCCATGTCTCTTCCTGAGCCCACAGATGACTGCATTCCTCAGCTTCTCTTCAGTTCTGTGGGGCCACGTGACTGAATTCTAACCCACGGAATGTCAGGGAAGGGATTTGTGCCACTTTCAGGCTAAGGTCGTTAGCAGCTGGTGTGCCTTTTCCCATTTTCACTCTTGCCCACCCAGCTGGAAATAAATGGTGGAATTTCAAGAAAAAAAGCATCCTGATCCATGAGCCAATATTTGAAAGCAAGCCACAGGGAAGAACTACCCAACCCACATCAAACCGTGAAATAGTTAGGTAATAAACCTTCATCATATTGATCTACTGAAATTTCAGGTTTTTCTATATGTGCAAGGCAGCAGTAATTCTCCAAATGTATATAGGAGGGCATTGTTATTTTTAAGTATATTACAAGCAAGATAGTAGTAAAGAAACAATGATTTAATGATTTAATTGTGACTGACAGAAACAGAGAGGCAACCACTCCTTAGAATTATAAAACTTTCAAATTAGTAGTGAGTAGAAATAAATGATAAGAGGATTACCCATCCTGCCAAGCAAGGAGAAAAGACAAAGCAACACAAAAAATGGGGAGCTATTACAGCAGGCACTACCAACTAACTACCCACCCTCCACACCTGCCTCACCACAGAACCCCAAGTTGTTCAGGGTGCAGCAGAGATCTCTGTCTTTTAGGAAAGGTGAGTTTCTACTCCAGCCCCAAAGGAAAAATAACAATTGATCTGGCAGGGCATGGTGGCTCACGCCTGTAATCCCAGCACTTTGGGAGGCCAAGGTGGGCAGATCACCTGAGGTCAGGAGTTCGAGACCAGCTTGGCCAACATGGTGAAAACCCATCTCTACTAAAACTACAAAAATGAGCCAGGCATGGTGGTGCACACCTGTAATCCCAGCTACTCGGGAGGCTGAGGTAGGAGAATCACTTCAACCTAGGACGCAGAGATTGCAGTGAGTCAAGATCATGCCACTGCACTCCAGGCCTGGGCAATAAGTAAGACTTCATCTCAAAAAAAAAAGAAAAAAAAATTGGTCTAATCCCATCAGGGATTAGAATCACTTGGCAAGTGATTCATCTATGAGTGATCAGATGTCCCCATTTCTGACAAGATATAGGCAGATGTTCCAGTGAACATCTTTAGGGTTCTTCTCCAAACAAATAGATCAGTGTTTTCAGGAGAAACCCTTCATACTTCACTCTTTTACCCCACTTTCTACTTCCTGCTGGGAATGAAGCAGTGATGTCTGGAGCAGCTGAAAAAACTTTTGCAACCATGAGGATAAAAGCCACATGCTAAGGATGGGGAAGCAAAAGATAGAAGGGAAGCGGTCCTTGGCGATCTTGATTGAGCAGCAAAACTAACATTATTCATTGCAGCACATCTCCAGATTTCTTGTCATCTGAGAAAAATAAGGAAATTTAAGAAATAAAGTACTTCAGTTGGGTGTGGTGGTGCATGCCTCTAGTCTCAGCTACTAGGGAGGCAGAGGCAGGAAGATCCCTTGAGCCCAGGAGTTGGAGACTGCAGTGAGCTATACGATTGCACCACTGTACTCACTCCAGCCTGAGTGAGAAAGCAAGAACATGTCTCTTTTTAAAAGAGAAAAAAAAAAGGAAAAGAAATAAAGTTCTTCATAGAGATAAAGGGTAGAATGATGGTTACCAGAAGCTGGGAAGGGTAGTGGGGCTGGGGGTAGGGAGTAGTGGGGATGGTTAATGGGTACAAAAATATAGATAGTGTAAAAGTGAACTAAATATGGCCCGAGAAGGACTCCAATTGTTCTCTATTTGAGTCCTCTCAAATAGAGAGGAAGAACCTTAACCG